GCCGCCGCCTCGGCGACTTGGAAAGAGGGTGAAGGGAGCCGTGCGCGCCGCGCCGCCAAGAGACGCACCCGCTCCTGCCCACCCCAGACTCGTCACCAGCACTTCGGGCCCCTCAGCGTGGTGGCCGGTTCCCGAGGAGAAACGAGGACAAAAAACAAAAAAAAGGGGGGGTCCCACGCGAAGAACGAGGGCGCTTCTGTTTCCCAAGAGGAATAGGAAAGGAAAAGGGGCCCGGGAGATGTGGTGCCTTTTCCTCTTCCGCGCCCTCACCAGCAGAACGACCTCTACGTTTCAGCCCCCTCGACGTGTTGGTGTCCTGTGGGAACGATCCCGTTGATCCATCCAGATTATAGTCCTGAGCGACATGTCCCTTCTGTTGCTGGAGCAGAGTGTCAATGCATATCATAAAGAACCTACTGTCCAGTCAAGTTCTGAGTGACGGAGACCTTTTTTAAGGGTTTTCCAGGTCCAAAGTACTCAGAAGCAGGTTTACCACTCTTTTCTTCGGGGGGGGGGGGACTGTGGAGCTTGCCCGAGGCCGCATAGGCTGGCTCTGCTTGCAGGAGGCACCGTGGGGAATCGAACTCCCAATCTTCAGTTTTGTAATCAGACACCTAAGCCAATGAACCCTCAAGCCAGTTCCATAATCATACACCATCAAGTCAATTAATACTTATGGCAGCCATTCTCAGGGTTTCCCAGGTAGATTATACTCAGAAGTAGCTTATCATTCCTTTCTTCTGGAGGTGCCCTGGGACTGTGCAGCTGGCCCAAGGCCACCCAAGCTGGCTGTACTTTTTCCCTTCTTCTGGAGGTGCCCTGGGACTGTGCAGCTGGCCCAATGCCACCCAGGCTGGCTGTACTTTGTACAGTATTAGGCACACTTGGGAATCGAACTCCCAACCTTTGCCTCCACAGCCACTTGCCTAAACCATTGAGCTATCCAGCCAGTTCCATAATCTTGTGCCATCAAGTCAATTATATTACTTTCAGCAACCCTTTTCCGGTTTTCCCAGAAGTGGAAGTACTCAGAAGTGGTTTTCCATTCCCTTCTTCTGGGGGATGCCCTGCAACTGTGCAGCCTTGCCCAAGGCCACACAGGCTGGCTGTACTCACAAGAGGCATAGTGGGGAAACTGAATTCTTCAGTACATATAGACAAGCAAATAATGCTCCAGCACAGGCTTCTGCGGTTTAGCCCACAGTACATAAAGACAAGTAAATAATGCTCCAGCTTTTCTTCTTTTTCTTTTTTCTTTCTTTTTTCTTTTCTTTTTTTTCTGCAAGGTATTCCACCAAGTAAATAATGCTCCAGCTTTTCTTCTTTTTCTTTTTTCTTTCTTTTTTCTTTTCTTTTTTTTTCTGCAAGGTATTCCACGTTCTGCCACCTGCATGTGGCAAAAGCACAACCCATGTGTTGCTGTGCTTTCTTTCCCCCTTGTTTCGTCTCTTTTATTTCTCCTTTCCCTCATGTATTTGTAAATTGTTTTAATTCAGTGGAGGGTTCATTGCATTTTAAAATATTGATTATCATATTTTATTGTTCAATATCGTGCCTCATTGTGATTTCACCTGCAAGTTTAAAACAATATTTTGTCGGCCACAATGGAGGGAAGGATACAAATCATATCAACAGTGCTTTTCTGAAAAAGTTAACATTCATGGACTTATGGTTTTAGCAACAAAGGTATTGCAGCTCAAAGATCTCATAATGGAATAAGAGTTATACTGCTAATTTTAAATCTGAAAGAGACCATGCATTCATATAAACCTTTTTTAAAAAAGGTTTGTAAATAGAGTTCTAAACGTTCTTGAACTGAGGCCTCAGTTCTGTGGAGTTCCATAGGCTTTGGTGCAGATTAAGTATGTTTCGGTGTCCACTAGTAGTCTGACAGATGCCATCAAGTGAAAAAATTGCAATTCTTAGAGTTTTGTCTGCAGAAATAAATATTGTTTAAACAGTAATATATGGCAGTGAGAAAGAACAGACTTGATCAGCTCTACTTTCCAACTTTCAAATTATCATATTTCTTGATCTCCCCTCTTCCTGCCCTCAACATGATATAATATTGGAAAGTTTTAGAAATCCAGATTGGTTTGAATGTTGTTATTGTTTAGTCATTAAGTCGTGTCCGACTCTTCATGAGCCCATGGACCAGAGCACACCAGGCCCTCCTGTCTTGCACTGCCTCCTGGAGTTGGGTCAAATTCATGTTGGTAGCTTCGATGACACTGTCCAACCATATCGTCCTCTGTCGTCCCCTTCTCCTTTTGCCCTCACACTTTCCCAACATCAGGGTCTTTTCCAGAGAGTCTTCTCTTCTCATGAGATGGCCAAAGTACTGGAGCCTCAGCTTCAGGATCTGTCCTTCCAGTGGGCACTCAGGGGTGATTTCCTTCAGAATGGATAGGTTTGTTCTCCTTGCAGTCCAGGGGACTCTCAAGTCTCCTCCAGCACCACAATTCAAAAGCATCAATTCTTTGGCGGTCAGCCTTCTTTATGGTCCAGCTCTCACTTCCATACATCGCTACTGGAAAAACCATAGCTTTGACTGTGCAGACCTTTGTCGGCAAGGTGATGTCTCTGCTTTTTAAGATGCTGTCTAGGTTTGTCATCGCTTTCCTCCCAAGAAGCAGGCGTCTTTTAATTTCGTGGCTGCTGTCGCCGTCTGCAGTGATCAAGGAGCCCAAGAAAGTAATATATGTCACTGCCTCCATATCATCCCCTTCTATTTGCCAGGAGGTGATGGGACCAGTGGCCATGGTCTTAGTGTTTCTTTTCATGTTGAGCTTCAGACCATTTTTTGCGCTCTCCTCGTTCACCCTCATTAAGAGGTCCTTTAAGTCCTCCTCACTTTCTGCCATCAGAGTGGTATCATCTGCATATCGGAGGTTGTTGATATTTCTTCCGGCAATCTTAATTCCGACTTGGGATTCATCCAGTCCTGCCTTTTGCATGATGTATTCTGCATATAAATTGTCGTACTCCTTTCCCAATTTTGAACCAATCCGTTGTTCCATATCCAGTTCTAACTGTTGCCACATTTCCCAGAATCACCCAACCAACATGAACATTAGCTGGAATGGCTGGAGGATTCTGGAATACATAGCCCTCCATTAAAAAATAAATCCATACTCTGCTTCTTGCTGTCTACATTATCCATACAATTAAAGATGCATGGGAAATGTGGTGACATCATAGCACGACACAACTAATCAGAATGGGATGTGAGACAGGAACACAACCAAATCAGATAAGGATAGGATTCCCATCCCTCTTTCTAAATAGGCCACAATTTTCATCTAGTTTCTATCACAAACTGACTCCTATGAAATGTATTCCTACTACTACTAGAAGCGACTTCAACAGCCAGTATGCAACACCTCTTGGAAGTTTTGGTTTTTTGGACTACATCTGGATGGGGAATTTTGAGAGTTGTTATTCAAAAAGCAAGTTTTCCAGGTCTGTTAAGGTAGGCAGCAGATGCAGGTAAAAAATCCAGAAGGAACCTAGGATAATATAACAATTATATCAATTGTGACCAAGTGAGCAGTCTGGCCGACTTTGGGCCAGGCACTTTCTCTTCTTCAAGCCAAACTCCTTTGCAGAGTTGTCAGGATGATGTGGGAAGGAGAGCCATCTGGAGGGAAAAGCCATCTTGAATTTATTGGAGGAAAGATGGGATACAAATCTAACTAATAACCAAATTAAAGCAGTCAAGAAAAGTAGCTGACATCAAAATGCCACACAATAAAATCCATCTGAAACATTGCTTGAAGGCACAGAATAAAGCAGTTCAAAATGGCTACTACAAAGTGGCTATTGTCTTCAGCTTATCTTGCAAACTGTGGAGGCACTCCCTGGAGATTTCTGGTGAAGGAGTATCTGGAAATGTCTTTGCTTTGTCTTTTGAAAATGCCTGGTTTTGGGGAATTAGCCCCAGACTACCCATTCACAGGAACCCGCAAACCTGCTGTTGATCTACGTCCTCCAAGTCAAGGATTTCAAGCCCGTCCTCAGCATCGGCCTTGTCGTATCCTTAGCTGACAGCGACATAGCTTTTTCAGAAAATTTTGAAGTGGAAAATTTTCTACACAAATCAGGATAAACTGCATCAGAATAATGCCTAATGTAGGATTTTCAAAAGATGATGATGTTCCAGTTCACTACTTCACTGCATTAGCTCTTATATCTGGTTGATATTATTCCAGGATGTTTTCAGTGCCTGCCAAACCACAACGTCCAAGTGTACCGGCATTCTTTTCTCTTGTCAGGACAGTGACTGCTCATAATCAGGACTGGGTAGGCATCCCCCCCAACAAACATTTGGGGGTGAAGCTCCCCCATCCCAATCCATGACCCACCCATGCTTCAGGGGCACATTTACTGTAACTGCAAACACTACGTAGTGTTATATAGCTGTCTAACTCATCATTGTTATGATTCAGAGAAAAACTAAATAGGTTAAAAGCTAACATTTTCACTTTTTCTACTTCAAGAAAAAAGTTTGCACTGAAATCTACCTGTGTGTTCTGAAAATGAATCAAAATTCCACATTTTCGTTTGCTTTCCTCTGTAGTTGAAGATAAGAATTTTAGTTCTGCTTTTGATTTATCCTGCACAGTGAGAATAAGAATTAATTCTTATTCAAAGAGTTAATAAATACTATCTAAATATATTTGTAGTAAAACATAAATAAAACTAGAAAAAGTACAATGGTACAGTGGTGCCTCACTTGACAATGTTAATTCGTTCCAGCGAAATCGCTGTAGAGCAAAAACATCATCAAACGAAATAAAAGAACCCACTGAAACACACTGAAAACCGTTCAATGCGTTCCAATGGGCTGAATACCTGCTCGTCCAGCGAAGATCCTCCATATGGCGGCCATTTTTGGTGCCTGTAAAGTGAGGAATCCGTCTTAGGTAACAGTGGGGGGCCCTTTTCTTCAGCTGGTAACCATTTTGAAACCCGACGATCAGCTGTTTGCTGATCGTTGTAAAGCGAAAATCGGTTCCCAAAGGAGGGAACAGATCATCGTTAAACGAAAAAAACCATTTAAACCATTGTTTTGCGATCGCAAAAGCGATCACAAAAACCTAATCGTACAGCAATTTCCTCATTAAGCGAGGCACCACTGTATTGTTAAAAACAATACATAACTCCTGATGAATGGTTCTCAAATTACATGTTTTTATTTTTCCTTCGCTTACAACTCAATATTATCTCTCATATATTTAATAGACACAATCATCTAAAAATATTAACTGACACTTTAAGCCTGCCAAGTTCATCCAGTATTATATCCTCAGTTGATATTTATTCATTTTGGTACTAAATTTGTGAAATGGAAACATTCCCAACTTGGAAATTATCTATCTCACATCACTTATCAAGGAGAATCATCTTCCTTTATTGTTCAATACAGGCCTCCCTTTTTGCTTCCACAAATTTCTGTTTTGCACTATTCTAATTCATGCCAGTCCAAATGAACTCTTAATATCATCCATGCATGTCATCCAGTTTGTGGCCCAGCTTCCAACAATCCTAAGTCTGAAAAATAAGACATCTCATACACACACAGATCTTACAAACAATTTGTTTATTCAGCTTAAACTAAGTACACAACTAAAAAGAAGAGGCAGCAGCATTTTGGCACTACACTATACATTAGTAATTTCTGTGTTTTAGCTCAAGAGATACTGGACTGGTTACACTGCTGTGCTTTAGGAACATGGTATAGTTTCCCAGCAGGCAAATGAATTGAAAATGTGTTGTATTTCTGCTTTTACCCCAAAAAAAGAAAAAAAGAAAAAGTACAAGATGTACAGAAAGCCAAAAAACACTCAATTCTCAATTTTTTTCCAGCATGGGAGATATTCTTGCACTCTATAATTTATCACACACCAAAAGGGAGATGGAAGAATGACACAGTTAAAAAACAAGACAAAAACAGATTTGCTAATAAGAAAATCAAGCTCAAAATTAAAGTTGCCTCATAAGATAAGTTATCTTATTCATGGGAATGAGGCATATTAAAATCAGAAGAAATTGGCATTTGAATCAGATACAAAAGCTGAAAGCACTATATCAACACCAAAACGTGGTTCTTAATTAAGATATTCTCACAAATGGATTATATGAGTTTGTTGTTGGGTTTGTTTGTTTGTTTGCAAACTGTACAATGCTTTGCCAGTGCAGTACACCTCTACAATTTATACAAGTCTTTTACATCTATGGAACATGTTGTGAATTAGCCAGCTGATAACCATCATAGCTGCAGACCAAAAAAAAAAAAAAAGAGGATACAGTACTTCTATTTTTCAAACATAAGTTAAATACTTCTTCCAGCATGGAAAGGTTGAATAAATGGCAAGATAGGGGGCTGGCAAACAGGGACCATTTTGTTTTAAAAGACTTCAGCTACTCATTATTAACATATATACATGCTCTTTATTCTCTGAAATAAAACAGGTAAGAGACACTATTTTCCATACACTCCACTAAATTAGGGAATAAACTGCTGTCTTCAAAGAGAAGGGAAAATGTAGGGCCTGTTGAAAAATCTGGCCATAGAATGTATCTCCCTCTGTTCCAGAGATCTTGACAACAACAGAGAGTAAAGAAATGTGCTCAGAAACTTAGTCTTAAAAAAAACAGAAACAAAAACCACCTCATTTTAAAGTTCTGCATAGCCTAGTACTACATGAGAGTTGGAAATGAGGTGGAAATCTTCTTTAAAAAAGTAACAAAAAGATGGAGGACATATCTGGCCTATCTTTAGAAGCCACTCACAACTCACACCTTTAGATAGATCAGATGAAAGATTATAGTTCATGTGTTCAGAAGTCCATTAGGTAACGAGCGACCAAGTGAAATGCATTAAGATGAAGAATAAAAAATCCACTGCATTGGACAGAAGAGAATGAAAAATGTGTAGGGTTTTAATGTTAATGCAAGGCATTTTTTAAAAAATACCATGATTGGGCCTTCAAACACAGTGACTTGTCATACTGCTACAGTCAATCTCGCCAGCAAAGTAGAAATCATCAGAGTCATCCCCATAAACGTTACATACGCACTTTTGATAAGCATTCCAGCCTTAAGCCTCAGAATTAATCCAAAAGGGTCTATACACAATAAATTACTTTTGAGTTTCCTTTATTTTTGCAGGAACAGCAGCGAGGTCTTTTTTATTTTTTTTTCTAAGAACCTGCAAGAGAAGGAGGGGAGAAAGAGGTATCAACATGACAAAAGCAGACCTTATCTAAGAAAGAACATTGTGATACAGTTGTCTGTTCTAAAGATGGAATGAGATCTCTGTGGCCCCATGATCATCATGCTTGTTCACAGCTGGACGACTAGACTTGCACACCACAGGTTACAAAGGAAGTCTAGTCAGCAGTTGGTTTGCTCTTCTTGGCAAGAAGAAATACCTGTAGAGGGAGACTGTGCGATGGCAAGCATAAGTTCTCCATTCACTGGATGTTAGATAATAACTGAATTATTAGAATTATTAATAATAATAGAATTATTAGCTTTCTCCAAGAGAAAGCTAATAATGCAAGCCTTCTTATCATGATCCTTGAGCGCTGCCTATCTTTGTCACAAGAAATATCAGCAGGAGGCAGTTTGCCTTCTCTCCTCCTCCTCCTCTTCTGGGACAAGGAAAGGAGCCCTGTCTTTCACGTCTACATTAATTAAAGGTAGCAAGGGAATGCAACTTCCGGGACAGCCAGAGTCCCGTTGTTCCTGGAAACTACAAAGGAAAGCATGCATTGCTCTTGTTTTTTTACTGCCAAAATATTGCAGTGGAAGTTAAAGAAACCAACTCCCAGACTAAAGAAAAGACTTTTTGTTTTGCCGTGTTTTGTTTTACACAAGACATGTTTTAAAAGCTCCTGGCAGGCTTCAAGATTAAGATTCTTCTTTAAAACAAAACAAGGGATTAATTCCCCCCCCCCCGGCAGAAGGGGTGATGCAAAATCAGGCAGGGGGCAACATGCAGTCTGTGGGCTGCACATTACAAGCCCAATTCAGGGTGTAGCATATGAACAAGAACGGCAGGTTACTCGCCTGTAATTGTAGTTCTTCGAGCGGACCTCTGTGATTCATACTGTGGGTGATCTGCGCTTGCGTGGAGCCTCTTCGGAATATTCTAGAGCTTCTGAGGTAGCAAAAAACACATTAGAATAGACCCCTCCCCCTCGGTCTAACTACCTTGGCGCCGGGACTTCAGTTGATTCCAGTTGTGTCAACTACCGCAAGGAGAAAAATATTGGATGGCATGACAGAGGGAAGGGAAGGTGGGATGCGTGAACCACAGAGGTCCACTCAAAGAACTACAATTACAGGTAGGTAACCTGCCGTTCTTCTTCGTGGCCTCTGTGAATCACACTATGGGTGACTGGCAAGCTGTCTTACCCGGAGGCAGGGTGTCACGCCAAGTGGGAAACCAAAACAGCAGATCCGAATGCCGCATCAGACTTCTGTTGAACATCCAGTCTATAATGCCAGATGGTTGTGCCCACATAGCCGGGGAGAGGCATACCACATAGGAATGCTGTAGAGGTTGCCAATGCCCTGGTGGAATGAGGGTGGATAGCTTGAGGGACAGGCTGTCGAGCAAGCTGGTATGCAAGCCAAAAAAGTAGAGACAACCCAGCGATCCGAATGCCGCATCAGACTTCTGTTGAACATCCAGTCTATAATGCCAGATGGTTGTGCCCACATAGCCGGGGAGAGGCATACCACATAGGAATGCTGTAGAGGTTGCCAATGCCCTGGTGGAATGAGGGTGGATAGCTTGAGGGACAGGCTGTCGAGCAAGCTGGTATGCAAACCAAAAAAGTAGAGGCAACCCAGTGAGAAATCGTCTGAGAAGTGACTTGTAGGCCTTTGTTAGGAAGTTGATGACAGACAAAAAGATGTAGGGAAAATCAAAAAGGATGTGTATGCAACACATAAAAGGAGAGAGCCCTCCTGACATTCAAAGCATGAAGAAGTCATTCGTGGACTGTGGATGGTGACGGAAAGAAAGATGGGAGGACTAGTGGTTGAGATGAAGCTGAGACACCACTTTAGGAAGGAAGGAAACATCAAAAAACAGCTTTACTTTATCAGGATAGAACTGCATACAGTATAAGGATAATCATGGCGTAGGGCCACAAGGTCACTCGCTCAGTGAGCTGAAGTAATTGCAACGAGAAAGGACGTTTTGAAGGTAAGTAAATGGAGATCCGCTGAGGCTAGTTGGAGAGGTCGGTGGTTGGTAAGAGACAATTGCCAAGAGATAGACTCTAACAGACGAAAGAGAAAGGCCAGAAGATTTGAGATGAAGCAAATATCAGAGGACTGTGGAGAGAGATGGGTTGATGGCAGGAAGGGAAAAAGCTGTAGTAAAAGATTGAATTTTTTTCCATTTATACAGGTAAGCCTTTTTAGTCGAGGACTTCTTTGCTTGACGGAAGATATCCATCAAGCAGGGAGAATCCTCTATGCTGCCAGGTGGAGAGCAGGTAAGTCAGGATGAAGGACCTGGGAGTTGTTCTGCGTGAGGAGGTGTGGTAGGCGGTGGAGGTGATAGATGTCGGAGGACAGGTGGTGTAGCACTGGGAACCAAGGCTGTCTTGGCCACCAAGGAGCAATGAGTTAGAATGTTTCTGAATGCTTTGCATGCCTTTATCACCGCTAATAGTTCTAACTCATTGAGATGGAGTGAATGCTCTCTGTGGGACCAATTGGCATATATTTTGAAAGAGCTGCAATGTGCTCCCCAGCCAGTAAGGCTGGCGTCGGTTGCGACCTGTATTTGAGGAAGTGGCTGCTGGAAAGGGCGTCCCATAGAGAGATTTGGGACGAAGCGCCATCATTGGAGTTATGAGGCAAGTTCGAGAGTAATAAAGAAAAATAGAGTGAATTTTTAAATTTTGCAGTAAAAAAGAACTTGTTTTGCTTTCAAACTCACAGAAGATAGAAGTACGAGGCTCTTCAATTAGGCGGTTGAAAGAAACTGAAGGGAGAGTCCTGGCGCCAAGGTACTTATACCAAGGGGGAGGGGTCTATTCTAATATGGTTTTTTTGCTACCGCAGAAGATCTAGAATATTCCGAAGAGGCTCTGTGCAGGCGCGGATCACCCACAGTGTGATTCACAGAGGCCACAAAGAAGAACCATAATCAAACCATAGTGCTGTGGTTCACCACTTTCCTGATTAATGTTGTGTGGTTCACAGAGGCCACAAAGAAGAACCATTAATCAAATCATAGTGCTGTGTTCACCACTTTCCTGATTAATGTCAGAAACAACCACTATCAAGCTCTACTTGACTGTTTCCTAATTCTAAATACAAATGTGGAGAAAAATCCCATCCCATCTCTTATTTAGCTTTTATTAAACTTGTTTTCCCCACTCTTACACAGGTAGACCCAACATGTAAGCAATTTCATTTCAGGATAAGGGTTGGAAAGACTGGCATCAAATATGTCTTTGTTATCATTTTGTAGTATTCATTCATTCATTCATTCATTCATTCATTCATTCATTCAATTTACTGTATATACTGTCCTCTTAGTGCAAGCACTATACTGAGCAGTTTATACAAGGTGAAAACTCACAACCCCTCAATACCCCTACAATAACAAAAATACAATTCAAAAACAATACGACAATAATTCTAATGATAAATATGAATAACCCTATAAAAATCTAAAATTGGTAAAACATCAACAGCATCCAGGAGAGTCAGTTACTAAAGGCAGCTTTAAATAATTCAGTCTGCACCATCTAGAAGGTAAGGAGGCATGTATCCATTGGCATTTTATTCCAGAGACTAAAAGTTGCAATCAAAAAGACGTGATCCTTTTTGGCCTTCCTCAGTGTAGCAAGTTTTAAGAGAATTGGTTGAGAGGAGCAGGGTAGCATGTATAGCTGATTCCTGGGAGTGACATTCCAACAAGTATTGAGGTCCAAACCTTTAAAGGTTTCATAGATAATAACCAGCACCTTGAATTGAGCACATAAACTATCAGGGAGCCAATGGAAGCACATCTAGATTGAGGATGTATGATCAAATTTACTAGTTCCAGTAATTACCTGGCTGTTACATTTTGGACCTGCCAAAGTTTCTGTACTATTTTCAAGGGCAGTCCTACATAGACAGCATTACAGTGCTCTATTTTTGAAATTACAATGCATGAACCACTGTTGCTAAGCATTTCTTACCCTAGTAGGGGTGCAACTGGGCAACCAGCTGAAGTGGACAGAAGCCCTCTTGGTCACAGCAGGTACTTGAGCCTCCATAGAGAGTGATGGGTCCAAGAAAACCCTTATGGACCCATTCCTTCAGGGGGAGTGTAATCCCAATGAGGCCAAGTAGATTTCTCTCTAACTGGCCCAATGACCCTCCTAACAGTAGAAGCTCTGTCTTATCTCAATCATTTTTAATTTACTGGCCCTCATCCAAGCCATTACCAAAGATGGGCAGTACTCAAGGGCCTGTACAGTATAGCCTACAGATGAAGAAAAAGAGACAGAGCCGCATGTCATCAGCATACTGCTGACAGCACACTCCAGATCGCCATATGAACTCTTCCTGCAGCTTCGTATAGATGTTAAAGAGCAATGTGAAGATGGTCAACCTCATTGGGACAGCATTACAGCATTCCCAAGGGGTAGACTCGGCGTCCTCAATCAGTATCACCAGGGATACTCAAGAAAGGACTGGAACCACCAAAGTACACATCCCCAATCCTGAAGCTTGACAGCCATCCTAAAATGATACCGCAGTCAATGAAAGATCCAGAAGGCCCAGTAGGGCCTCCTCCCTTAGGAGACTGTCTTGCAGGGCAACCAATGCATCTAAATCCCAGTTGATATGGATTGAGACTATCGATTCTAATTGCACCTACAACTGGGTATCTACCGTCCTCTCAATCAATTTGCCCAGGAAAGGAATATTTGAGATGGATATGTAATTGTTCAAATCATCCATTGCCAAATTTCTTAAAAATGGACCATATGATAGGTTTTTTTTAAAAGGGGAGAGAACAAGGCCTTCTTGGATAAAAGCACTGATGACATGAGTAGCCCATTCAACTGTTGTCTCCTTAGTAGATTTAAAAGCCAAGACTGGCAAGGATCTAAAACAGAGGTATTAGCCTTATAGCATGCAAGTGTGTACTCTATGTTCTCAGGCTTTACTAATTGAAAATGATCCAATAAAACCTGAAAAGAAGTGCACTGGACATCTCAATCTGGTCTACTGGAATAAGCAAAGAGTCAAGGTCGCAACAGATGCATTCAATCTTCAATCTAAAATGGGCTGCTGAAATTCGTTCATATATATGACATTTAGAAACAGTATGAAACAGTAAGCTTGTCACTCATGTTTTATAACTCACTACTGTAATGTATTTGCGAAGGCTTTCACGGCCGGGATCTAATGGTTCTTGTGGGTTTTTCGGGCTCTTTGGCCCTGTTCTGAAGGTTGTTCTTCCTAACGTTTCGCCAGTCTCTGTGGCTGGCATCTTCAGACCAGAGAACAGAGTGCTGTCCTCTGAAGATACTGGCCACAGAGATTGGCGAAACGTTAGGAAGAACAACCTTCAGAACACGGCCAAAGAGCCCAAAAAACCCACAAGAATCACTACTATAAACTCAAAAGATAATGAATTTTAATCTAGCACCTTGAAGTGGCCTAAGATCCATGAAAGCTTAGCCCCACTCCCCACAAACTTTGTTAGCTTTTAAGATGCTCCAGGACTCCTCGTTCAGTTTCCTGCAACAGACCAGCAAAATGTATTCCATAGAAATTTCTAGATTTTTAAAGAAATCCCAGTAAGAAAGAGGAAATCATGCTCTTATTATGTATCTGTTAAATCAACAGGCACTATTATAAAGCTACATTCCTGCTATGACCAGACAGATATTTTGAAAGGCCTAGGAAGGAAGTTTTATTTGCAACGGACTAAAATTTCACAAGATAATCTCACCGCTTTATGCATAATAGCATGGTGATACCAAGAGGTCAGTAAGGACAAGCAGCTGGTCATCAGTGAATTGTTGCTTGTGCTCCTGCCAGTTATCATGGTGGGTTCTCCGGAAATTGGACAAGGTTTTCTTTACTGTCATCTGTGTGGCCAGAAGCAAAGATAAAGGTTGAGACAGTGTACTTAAGGCAACTACGCTGGCAGAAGCAAACGTTTTCAGGATTAGTGCAGGAAGCCCTGTTATTGTGTCCATTCTCCTTTAGGACCAACAGCTTCTCAACAAAACCCTTGGCAGTTCCAAAAGGTTTTGTCCTTGCAGTTGTGTAAACCAGACAGATACATATGTATTAGTTTCCATCCTGAGCTAATAACAAAATATACTGTCTAAGTCAGGGCCTCAGATAAAATCACATCTGCTTGAAACCACAACATAGAAACTTCAAACTCATGTTTCTCAAGTGTACAATATCTACCAGGTATAGTTAGAGAACAAATTTATCAGGCAAGAGAAATACTCACACAAGCAATCTACTGTACAACAGACCCAGAAGATAAAATAATTCAAAACATATATTAAAAACACATATACTGTACATACATCGAGAATACATTAAACAAACACTGTTAGTTATCACCTTTGATCCACAACTGAGGCCACTCTCCCACGCCTTTGCTGTCAGTCCTGTACTTACTTACAGATAACCCCCCCCCATCTGAAACAAACATTGACAGACAACAGACTACACAACACTGATACACAGATAGGAAAGAAACCCTGCTACAAACCCAGATGACAGCTCTGTCCCCACATCTAAACTAGCAACAGGCCCCAGCAATGTTACACACAACATCATGGGTGCATTTGCTTGTTCCTCTACTAACATCATCTATGCCAAACTTTGCAAACAATGCCCTTCTGCACTCTACATAGGAAAAGCAGGAAAATATCTCTGCAAAAGAATTACAGTAATGAATATAAATCTGACATCAGAAATGACAATACAGCATACATGGGGGAATCTGTTCTACAATCTACCAGACTCCTGAAAAAGTGTATAGTAGCGATGACAGTGTCGACCAACATGAATTTGGCCCAGCTCTGGGAGGCAGTAGAAGACAGGAGGGCCTAGTGCGCTCTGATCCATGGGGTCACGAAGAGTTGGACACAACTAAACGACTAAACAACAACAAGCGAAGCATATATACAGCACACAAGGGGGCAGGACAAAGGCCATAAGGTCTACCCGCCCCCATATGTTGTATATAGAAGAGACACAGTAAACAATAGATAACTGAAATCATGGATACAAATCGAGGGTCCTACTTTACTGTTTCAGAACATTTCAATCTACCTTGAATCACCTGGAAGTTACTGTCTTAGGAATAAATACTACAGAACTAGATTTAAAAGAGAAACAGAGAAGATACATATGGACGCTGGAGACCCGCTCAAAAACATTAAACATTAATCAAGGGTCCCTGCCTCATTACCAAATACAAAATCCTACACTGGTTCCAGCAGTTTGCCACTTGTGTCAACAATGACACTGTTGCCTTGTAGACTCATACATAGATCGGTAACTGAAATTATTCACAGCCTGATAGTCCTACTCCTTTACTAACAAAAGCTAGACTGTCTCCTTAAATATTCTCCTACATAGAAAGCTAACAGCTATGTTTCTCCATGAGAGGCCCTCCAAGTATTGCTTCTGCTACTATTATCCTAAACTGGGTAAGAATAATATGGACCCTAAAAGTAATCCCAGCATGAACCTATGAATAACAGACCATGAAACACAATAGAAAAGGTTGTCACTTAGACAAGAACCAATGGTATACAGTCTGACAGTGTGCGCTTATGAACTTTTCTGCCAAGGACAATTTATATTAGGGATGAGAAACCTGTGATCTCCAGAGGTGTTACTAGACTACAGCTCCCATCATCCCCAAACATAATGTCTACAGCTCACAGAAACTAGAATAGAACACCACTTCCCCAACTGCATGACAAGAGATTATGCTTACCTCAATGGGCTGGGGATCATTCAGATGTGCACTAAGATCCATCAAAAGCTGAGGCATCCAGGTGGGTACATCATAAGGACTTGATAAAATGCATGCACTGAGTCCCAGCACACCAGCATGGCGCTTAACCAAATCTGCAGCAAAAATAAATCAGTCACTCTTTCTCTAAGGTTGGAAAAGTTGGGGAAAAAATTTGACACCTCAGAGAGATCCCTGGTAGCCATGTTGGCTAGGAGATTCTCAGAGTTGTATTCCAAAAAATTTCTGAGTACAGTGGTGCCTCGCATAGCGACGATAATCGGTGCAGCAAAAATCACTGCAAAGCGATTTCGTCGTATGCGATATTAAAAAGCCCATAGGAATGCACTGAAACCCCTTCAATGTGTTCCTATGGGCTTCAGACTCACCTTTAAGTGAAAATCCTCCATTCGGCGGCCATTTTTGCTGCCCGGTAAGCGAGGAATCCATCCCAGAAAACAGCGGGCGGCCATTTTTTTTACCCGGCGGCCATTTTGGAACCACCGATCAGTTGTTTAAAAAATCATTGCTTTGCGATGATCGGTACGCGGAACAGGGTACCAATCATCACAAAGTGATTTTTTCCCCATTTAAAACATCACAATGCGATCGCAAAATGTTCGTCAGTATGCGATTTCATCGTTAAACAGGGCGCCCATTAAGCGAGGCACCACTGTACTATTCTTGCTATGCAGGATGTTGAAATAATGTATTTTCAAAAATGGGAACTAGTGCATTCAAAACTTAAACTAATAAAGCAGAGTGAGCCACTGGCATGAAAGAAGATGAATGGCAGCTGATCCTCCCAATAAACCTCAAAAATTCCCCTGGATATTTCAATCACTGAGACACAAAGAAGGGTTCAAATAAAATTCACCCCACAGTATGTGTGTATATAATGTCTGTGAAATGGCTGGGGTATATACAGTCATGTGAAAGAGAAAGTACACCCTCTTTGAATTCTATGGTTTTATATATCAAGATATGCCCTGTTTCCCTGAAAATAAGACCTAACCTGAAAATAAGCCCTAGTATGATTTTTCAGGATGCTCGTAATATAAGCCCTACCCAAAAAATGAGCCCCAGTTAAATGAAACCCTGCCCTCCACCATTGTGCAGCAACCAGAACATGATGCCATGACTGTATTTGAATAAATGTAGATTGTTGTACATGAAAAAAAATAAAACATCCCCTGAAAATAAGCCCTAATGTGTTTTTTGGAGCAAAATTTAATATAAGACCCTGTCTTATTTTCAGGGAAACGCAGTATGTTGTTGATTCTTGTTTTATCTTGTTGTAAGCTTCCCAGAGTGGCCTTTGAAGCCAGATGGGCGGTATATATCTGGGCCCCAAAATCCTTGAGTTTCCTTCCCAGAGCTTCAAAGTCAGACGTGATTCCTTGGTTGCTCCTCTTGGCTGTGTTGTTTGTTCCCACATGGACAAGAAGCAAGAGATATGAGTGATGGCAATTCTACCATCACATCGTTTATCTGAGACAGCATACCTGGCGAGTCCACGGATCCTTCCGGCATATTTCGGTCTTAATTCCACGTAGTAGGGAGTTCCTACTATAACTACTCTCCTCTTCTACTTTCTGTAGGTTGTGGGTTATTGATGCTAAAGGTGGTTCGACAAGCTGTTGAATCATAAGGTGTACTTAACGTTTTTCACACACGGCCTCTCCATTTTGACTTGTAAAATAAATCATGACACAATGTAAATATGTTGTTGTTCATCATGCTCATAATATAAGCCCTACCCAAAAAATGAGCCCCCGTTAAATGATACGTAAAACCACAGAATTCAAAGAGGATGTATTTTCCCCTTATTTGTTTGTTTGTTTTTTGTTCATTTGTTTGACTTGTATGCTGCCTGCACTCTGCAAGAGTCTCCAGACAGCTATTATGCAGCTATTTCTCAGAATTTATAGTTTAAATAGGCCTTTTGCATCCTAGAACATTCTTCTCCATCGTCTTTTAACCCACTCACCTTTGTTTACTGAACATATTAGCCAGAATCCTATTGTGTAGGTACACCTGAAGAAAACAAACAGCAAAATTTGCAGCAGCTTGTTCCTCCTAATAAATGAACCTCTGCTTGGATTTCTCGATAGGTTTCAGTCCAGTGGGTTTGCACACACACCAAAATCCAAGGAGAGGCTTTTTGGTGCCACTGAGAAGCTCCTGAAAGTTACATCGACTGCCTTCAGAAGCAAAACTAGACAGGAGGATTCTGGCCATTATAAAACTATAAGGATTCATTGTTCATATTACTGTAGAAAGATGACTGCTGCACGCCCTCTGACTAGATAGGCTACACATTAAGGGTACTCTGTAGCCCTCTCCAGGTCCCTCCTGGATTCATTCATGGGAAAGTGTGTGTGTGTGTGGGGGGGTGTTGTTGTTTTAACAACAATCCAGAAAAGCAGAGATTCTGTGATGTTTTTTAAAAGGTAGAGGACAGGTCATCCTCAATCTGTATGCCCATTATTCAGCCATAGAGTATTGTAGAGGGAACTTCATACACCACTGTCTTAAGCAACTCCACCCTTACCTGCAGGGGGGATAGTATCTACTACTGTGCTGAGGTCTCGCTTCCTCTTCTTTGGAAGTCTCCTCTTGCACAGTTCTTCAAAGTGAGTCTGCATAGGGTCATCAATCGCCAGGAAATGGCACTGAAGTAGGCCACTCAATGTGGTGGCAGCCATCTCTCTCACCTACAATCAGACAAGACTGTCAGTGTCCCCAGTAAGTATTTACATCACCGTGATATATTTCCATATGATATACGTGGTATAAGCTCAAGAATTTGGTGTCTTGGTGCTCCCTGTTAATTTCTGAAATAGATAAATAACGAGTACAACAGGATCTCAATGAAAACCCTTCCCTGTTGAATTTATTTATTCTACTGTGTAGTCCTTTTATAATCTGAGTTCACTAGCAATTCATCTTAGTAATGCAATTTTAAGAGCATATGAACAGGCCTGACAAGCTTCTTCCATTCAGTTTGGATAATGCCATGTTCTAATTTATTACACATTTTGCAATTTTATTCCTGGCCCTGTAGAGTTTAAAAACTTGGGCCAAAATCCTACTGTGAAATATTGTGCATATAAGGGCAGGTGCACTACTTTTAGTAGCCACGTCATACACCCAGAAATGCAAGCAAGCATGGAACTAATTGTGCAAAACAGGTTCGTCCAAGCACACAATTGTCATGCTACACCAATAAGATATCCATCATCCACACCACGCCATTAGCAAGAACACTCTCAGTTCACAACATGTCAATCATTAAATCCAATAATAAGAAATTATAGTATACAATAAATATAATAAAACCTTGTCACTAGTTTAAAAACTGCATTTAAATAGAACTGACAAATTTCAAACCAATTTGGGCATCTCAGGTCAATGGTTAAAAGCATGAATAAAAAAGAAGCTTTGTAGAATTCTTTCAAATTAATTTTTATTACTTAACTTTTTAAATTAATTCCGTAAAAACTGACAGGGATGACAAACCTTTGTAGGAAGCTTGTTCCAAAGGGAAGGAGCAGTGACTGAGAAAGCAGGGTTCCTGGTTTTAGATTATTAATTGCCAGGGGCTTCTCCAAATGGCTTGCCTTTGTCATTTAACTGAAGAAGGGGGAACATCCACTTTGAAGGGACAAAAGCATTGCTTGGGCCCTCTTTTGCCAATTAAGACTGAATGTGCTTTCCAAAGACTTATTGGGCAACATTTGTTATCTCCGTTTACTGGGCAGGCTACAACATGTTCACAAACAAGAAAACACTTGAAAATACTAATTGTAAAAGCCACTCTGCATCTGGAACATTGAAAAGGCAAAGTAAATAGACCCATATTGGAGGCTGAATGATGTGAATCTGCCTTAGCTACTTCCAGCACGTTACACTGCCTCGTCTAACTCAGGAATGGCCAGTTTCCAGACTGGAGGGGAGGTATTCTGTTCTCTACACAATGTAGAAGAGACCAGGTATGTATTTTGTGACACATAGTTATGCTCCCACCATCAAGCAATCAGAGGGACCAAAGAAAACAGCCAGAAAAGGAGTGTGATATTAAAATGCAGAACACTGCTTGTTGTTACTGTTTCATAACCTTGTGTTCCCTGTCACTCAGAGGGAAAGTCAACTTGAAAACCAGTTTCAGTGGAAAGGTAAGATAATAAATAAAATAAATATGGATGTGGATAACATTTCATTGGACCTTGATCAGTTTCTGCTGTGTTTACCGGGGATCCAATAAAGGTAGTTTGTTGTAATGGACAGACTTAACCTGCAAGCTGCTAGTCAGCCAACTGTGATATAACTGATTGTTACCGTGGTGCATCTTCATGCACTACACCTAGGAAAAATTATTTTGACCATCTTGCCAACTAATTTGTGATCTGTCAAATTAAAAGGCATACGTTTCTATCTGAAGGCTACCAGGGCATAGCCTAGAGTTTTTGCCAAGGGAAGAGAGAAGACAGGATTAAAATTCAAAATGACCTTGACAGATTAGAGTCTTGGTCCAAAACTCAAAGGAAAGGAATCAAAGCAGATTTACAGAAATGGTCTAAACTGCACTTGTCTTTAATGGGTAGAATAGCGGCAATTAAATTTTGGAAAAATTAAAAATATTTTGCCAAAGTTGTTTTTCCTTTTTCAGACGATCCCAGTATTACTGAAACAAGACTTCTTTAAAGAATTGAACAAGATAAACAGTAAATTTGTCTGGGATGGAAAAACGCAAAGAATAAAACTCAAAGCTCTCCAGGACAACAAACAAAGAGGAGGTTTTGGCCTACTGGATTGGATGAAGTATTATAGAGCAGCAGCTCTGACCTGGGTGAAGGATTGGATCTATTTGCAAAATGGGAGACTTTTAAAAATTGAAGGGCATGACAAGGCTTGGCTGGCACGCCTTCCTGTGGTATCAAGATGACAAACTATGTAAAGTTTTTAATCAACATTCGATCAGGAGAGCTCTGTTGTGGGTTTGGAAAATAATCAAGGTACAACACTATAGAATTTTTAATTGTGTACAAATTCCTTTTTATTTATATATTGTTTTTGTATTTTGTGTTGTAAGCCGCCTAGAGTGGTCAATATGACCAGATAGCCAGGGTATAAATGGAATGAATGAATGAATGAATGAATGAATGAACAAACAAACAAACAAACAAACAAACAAACAAACAAACAAATAAAGATTCCAGCATGGGTGGCCCCACTAGAAGCGTTTTTTGACCCGGTAAGAACAATACAAAATGTAAATGTGAGATATGCCGAATTGATAGATAGTGACTAATCTAAAGGGTAAAGTTGGACTGGCAGAACAGGGTATTGTTCTTAATTGGTGGTTGATAAATCAGCTAAAATCATGGTATGCAAAAGATAAAGCTATTGGGTTTTATAAAGAGAAAACTGTTTTGGATAAAGGATTGCTAGATTCAAAGGAAAAACTGATTAAATGTTTATATAATATTTTGATGGAACAAAAATGGAAGATGAAATTGTGAAGGATTGTATGATAAAGTGGGCTCAAAACATTGGTTATAACACTGAACTACGTGCCTGGTCACAAATATGGGAACGAAACATCAAAATGATTAAATCTATAAACTTAAAAGAAAATGTTTATAAAATGTTTTACAGATGATACATAACACCAGAGAAACTAACCAAAATGTATAAAAATGTATCCAAACAGTGCTGGAAATGTGAAGAAAAAGTAGGTACAGTGGTGCCTCGCTTAACGAGCGCACCGTTTAACGAAGAATCCGTATAGCGATCCCTTTTTGGGGATCGCTATACAGATCTGCCCCAATCGCCGCACTCGCCTTGCTTACGGAGGGCGCGAAAACACTGATAGGGGCCATTTCGGGTCATGCGGCGGCCATTTTGGAGCCGCCGATCAGCTGTTCAGCGGCTCCAAAAGGGCCGCCGGAGCCCCAATCGTTGCAAAGCGAGTGCGGCGATTGGGGCTGATCCGTATAGCGATCCCCAAAAAGGGATCGCTATACGGATTTTTCGTTAAACGGTGCACTCGTTAAGCGAGGCACCACTGTATTTTAGTATATCTTTTCATGTGACAACACTGAAGACATGACACTTGGCTACAATGTAAAGCAATGAGTATACAGTTTGCATAACAGTGTAAATGTGCTGCCCCCTCAAAATAATGCAACACACACACATTAATGTCTAAACTGCTGGCAACAAAAGTGAGTACACCCCTAAGTGACAATATCCAAACTGGGCACAAAGTGTCAATATTTTCTGTGGCCACCATTATTTTCTTGCACTGCCTTAGCTCTCTTGGGCATAGAGTTCACCAGAGCTTCACAAGTTGCCACAGGAATCCTCTTCCACTCCTCCATGACAACATCACAGAGCTGGTGGATGTTAGAGATCTTGCACACCTCCACCTTCCGTTTCAGGATGCTCCACAGATGCTCAATAGGGTTTAGATCTGGAGACATCCTTGGCCAGTCCATCACCTTTACCCTCAGCTTTTTTAGCAGTGTCATTTTAGAGGTATGTTTGGGGTTGTTATCATGTTGGAATACTTCCCTGAGGCCCAGTCTCTAAAGGGAGGGGATCATGCTCTGCTTCAGTATAGCACAGTACATGTTGGCATTCATCATTTCCTCAATGAATTGTACAGTAGCTCCCTAGTGCTGGCAGCACTCACAAAGCCCCAGACCATGACACACCCACCACTATGCTTGACAGTAAGCACGACACACTCGTCTTTGGACTCCTCACCTGGTTGCCGCTACACACGCTTGGCACCATCTGAACCAAATAAGTTATCTTGGTCTCATCTGACCACAGTTCCAGAAATCCATGTCCTTAGTCTGCTTGTCGGAGCCTTGGCCCGGCAGTGGGGGTTAGAATCCAGGAGGCCTCCTGGCAGCAGCCGATGGTGGTAAGGCACTGCTTTTTGCTTTTTTAAAACTTTTTTTGGGGGTCTTTTGCAGGGTGGGATTGGGCTGGTGGGGTTATGTTTGTGTTTGTTTTGTTTTTTTGCAGCCCCAGGGGCTTGCAGTGTTTTAGTTTTAGTTTGGGGGGGTATTTTTTTTCCTGTGGGTCCGTGCTGGATATGATGCATGCATGCACTGAGTTCCAGAGTCCTGCCTGTCTGTCTTTTTGCTGAAGAATTCTGTGGGTCAGGAATTCTGGCTTGCAGAGACTGGACTAAGATGTGAGTTCCAGAATCCTGCCTGTCTGTCTTTTTGCTGGAAAATTCTGTGGGTCAAGATTTATGGCTTGCAAAGACTGGGCTAAGGTGTGAATTCCAGAGTCCTGCCTGTGTTTTTGCTGAAAAATTCTATGGGTCAGAATGCTGGCTTGCAAAGACTGGGCTAAGGTGAATTCCAGACTCCTGTCTCTGTGTTAAAATTGGCTTCGTTGAAAAAATGATTTCAAAAGTGCTTTTAAAACTGTTCCCTGCCTCCCCCCTCCTTTTCTGAACTTTTCTTGACCTAAGAAAAAAGAAAAAAATATCCCCCTCTAGTGGTAGAATGCGGAATAGCAGCTTCCCATCAGTTTCTATGGACGGAAAACAGCAGATACGGATTAAATGGTTTTCAATGCATTCCTATGCGAAATGCAGATTTGACCTACAGACTTTTCGACCTGCGGACCACCTTCCAATACGGATTAATTCCGTAAGTTGAGACCCCACTGTACATTAAATTGTAGAGATAAAACTGCCTTAATACCAGAGGTTTTTATATTGAACATGATACCACCCACAAAAGAAAAAAACAAGGTTTATTTGATTTTACATTTGATAACTGCAGCAAGAATTTTGTACACTAGCAATTGGAAGACCACAAAGTTTCCGACAAAAGAGGAATTTCTTGAGAAGATTCTAGAACTGGCAGAAATGGACATCTTGACAGACACATTAAATGTCAGAACAACAGGAGTGGAGAAAAAAAGCAGTGGGAACTGCTTTACACCTGGACTGAATCTACACTGACTTAAGTAGAACAGATTAGATCAGTACTATATTAGTTAGAATAGGATGAGATGAAACGAATTGTATATACTGTAACAAACCTCTGATTGCAACAAGACATAGAGAAGTAGGGGGAAAAACACAATAAAATATATATTTTT